TTGTGAATAAAATAAGATTAAAATCTGAATGGGAATGTTTCGGTCCATCAAGTCGCATACATTCCTGTTCAGTGCTGCATCTGGACCTCGTCAGTGTGATGGGTTGCAGCGAAAGTAGGTCGGTCAGTCCTTGTGTCATTCGCTCATTCGTTTCGATGGTAAATTGGTATTGCCTTATTCTAAGAAGTTAGTCCTCCTACTAGCTCCCCTTTTAAGCAACTCCAAAAGGAGAAAACATCAGCAGCCTTGCTAGCAAGTTGTAGCTGTTGGCATTTGCTACCAGTTGGACAATTTTCTGAGTGCTTACGTCTCATATAGAAATCAAATGTGGATGACGTTTTGATTTTTGACTTAGATTTTAAACGAATAATCGAGATGCAACTTTTCCTCAGTAGATCGGTAATTGAGTATATCACATTGTAACTTCATAGATAAACCTCATACACGCAGCGATCAGAGCATATGATAGATAGTGTAATTAAATACGCACTGCGTTATTGCGTTGATAGAGTGGAAAAATGTATATGTTTCGAGCACATTATAGAAATTTAAAATATGCACAAGACGCATGAATATCGTGGTGAAATATATACCACACACTGAATATCGTGGTGAAGTATTTCTGAATTAGTGTGGAGGACTTCCGAATTACTTTTCTTCTCTCCGCTTTACAATAAGAATCTTTTAGATGTCAAAACAAACCGGTAATTTCCTGACTCTCAGCGAAGGCGTAAAGAAATTCGCAGCGGATGGCATGCGCCTTTCTTTGGCGGTAATTTTTTCATTTGCATTTCTCAACTCGAGTAGTACTTTTTTTTTTACCAAAATACCAATAAAAATGTTTTTGCTGCGGTCTGGAACAAATGCTTTTTGATTTCCAGGACGGTGGCGACTACATCGAAGACGCCAATTTTGTTTACAGTATGGCGGATGCCGGAATTTTGCGCCTGTACAACCTGCTTGCTTGGGTGCGTGAAATGGTTGCACTGCGTGATCAGGGCAGCCTTCGCTCCGGCCAGAACCTCACGTTTGCCGACCACGTTTTCGACAATGAAATGAATATTGCAATTCGTAAAACATATGAAAGCTACGAGCAGACGCTTTTTAAAGAGGCTCTGAAATATGGATTTTACGAATATCACGTAAATTGATTTCCAGACAGACTTCTTTAGCTGCATATTCTGGGTCGTCCCGCCCTGATGCATTTGGCAACTTCTTGCATAGCTGTTATAATTGCAGTTGCACCATCCGATGATCAACTTTTCGCCTTTCGTTTCCGCTTACTGTTAGATTTGAGATTGGCAGTCTTCTAGCGGCCTAATGCTATGCTTTCAGTTAGGATATATTAGTATATCTTGGCATCTTTTTTTTGCTACCTTGCGCAGATTAGAACATTTGTGTGCACTGATTTTTATTCTTGCAGAGCTATCGTGACAAATATCGGGAGCTCTGTGAAGGCGACGCTGGAATGCATGTTAGTATGGCATTCAAATGGATTGAAACACAGGCACTTATCCTCTCACCGATTTGTCCTCATCTTTGCGAAAAGATCTGGCAAATTTTGGGAAAGGTTATTTTTATGATTTATTTGTCCCTCTAGTTTTTCAAAATCAATAGCGAAAGCCATTTGTCGACAGTGAATTTTCAGGATGGCTTGATTGTGAACGAAAAATGGCCAGTTGTTCCAGCACCTAATGAAATAACCACCAAGAAAGCTGAATTCATGGATGCCGCAATTAGGGTACGTTTCCTTGTTCAAGTTCTGCGTTCAGTGTGGCAAATCACTGAACTTTTGTTAAAATATAGTATTTTTTTTCCTTTTTTTTGTACTGAATGATTGATATAACTTTTCTCATATTGCCAAGTCGATAGATTTGCTCTTGAAATATCGAAACTAATGCATTAGCACTCTGTCGCTGCATTTCCCATATAATGTATCAAGTAGTGATTAATGGTTTTTGTTAAAAATAGATTAAAAACCAACTGAGTTATTGTGACGCAGTACCCCTGTCCTTGGTTCAAACTTTAACCGCCCTGCCCTCACTGAACTTCCGATCTTTGTCCCCTGGGGTATAAAAGCACTCTTCCCCTTCGCCGGGATCGCCACTTTTCGACATATTTATTCTAACCTACTTATTCTTTATACTACTACTCCTGTTCTGGGGAGCTTCGGCTCCCCAGAGCCTCACCTACTTTTTATACCTTATCCTTTACTTTATGTATAGTAAACATGTGTGTACGACGCGATGTGTGACACACACACACACCATACAAACGGGGCACACACTAGTCCAATAAGACAACTATTAGGGTCGCGACACCCATTACAAGACATTGACGTGGAGCAGCTCCCAATTGTTTGCCTGTTTCGTCTACGATCTCGTGCATTTCGCATCCAAATATTGCCCTGCATTCGAGTTGGTGGATCAGTGGAGCTGCTGCCGATCTTCATAGTGCTTTTC